TATATCCAGTGGTCAGTCCAGATACCAGACACAACGGCTGGTCCAAAACTACGTGCCGGGTTCATAGATGCACCAGATACAGTTCCACTGCGATATAAAAAAGGCAATAATTAACACATCAAAGCTATCCACATAAACAGAAACTATTAATATCCATAGCTTACTGCAGTACACTTAGTACTAGAATCAGAGTAAAAACTTACCCTGCCAGGATACCTGCACCTACAGCCAGACCTATAGCCATGGGTGCCAGTACACTGGGTTTGCTATCTACAGCTGACTGCAATACAGTAGATACCAGAATCATGGTTAGTATCCATTCACAGCCAACAGCTTCACCTAAACTGTATGCATCACCCTTGAGTGTTGCTCCACCATTGATATAGTCATACACTGCATCAGTCAGAACACCCTTCAAACAGAATAATTATACAAATTTAATAACATTATAACAACAGGGTATGATGTGGGGATCCTACTGTCTCTCTGACCATGTGTAATGACTCTCAACATGCATTGACAATGCACAGTTCTCCTGTGTTGAGTACACATCACATGTAGATACACATGTCTACTATCTGTATAGACAGAGGAACTACCAGGGAAATAAAACCAAAATGATTGCCAGTAGACTATTTTTGTTCAAATCTAAAAAAATCCTGATACAAATTTGTGTTCATCTATGAGAAATGATTCCAGACACATTTACAGACTGCAATTTTAGACAAAATGGCAGTCAATTTGACAAAATCACAAAATACCACAAACTATGGTATGAGTATACTATGGTATACCAATGAATATACAACTGAATCAGGCGATATACTAGTGAGAAATTGGCATAGATATGAAAGAAGCCAAATGGCCGCCAAATGGCCAACTTTGTATGAATCTTGAACAAATATTACATGCAACTAAAAAAAGTGGTCCAGGACACAATTAAGTTTCAAAATTTAGCAATTTCAAGAATCAGAATGGCCACCAGTCAGCCATATTTTATCAAATATGGTAATTATACATGTTCTGTGTGTTGAGTTTGACTTTGATTGATCAAATTATGTCTGACAATTTCATCTGAATGCATGCACATATGCAAAAATGATTTCAGACTTCATTATAAACAAGAATTAAAAAACAACAACATATGTATGAAGCAGACTTAAACAGTTACCTTGACGATAGCAGCTCCAACTATAGCACCTAGTAATTGGAATACAATATACAGTACACCAACTATGAGGTTGATTTCTTGAGATATCATAATACCAAGTGTTATAGCTGGATTGAAATGTCCACCACTAATAATTAAAAACACACATTGTTAATATCAAAAGAAGTGAAAAAATGTCGGTATTAGACTGCACAAAATTAAATTTTGCATCGATTTTGAAACATTTATTGTTGTTATGGTAAAAATAGTTGTTTTCAGTTTTGCACTATCAAGGTAATGATCATTTTTCCAGGAAATTACACTTTTGTTTGCAATACATACGAGTTACTGATCATGCACACAATAAAGTCAATTTTTTGCTTATTTCATTTTTATCAGTGATGCACTTCTTTTATAGCAAATATGGCATATTCAGTTTTCTAATTTACATATTTTAGTGTACATTTATAAAATAAAGTTTGTTCTTGCCCTGAGGCTCTAACTTAGAATTTTAAAATGTGTCAAATGATTATTAACTTTATATGTACATATTTTCACTATTTTAATGTTTTGATTTTACGGAAACAATGAGTTTTATTTTTTTTTACAAGTTCATGTAGATTTAATTAGGCGGATTTTACAAAAGCAGTTTTTGATAATATTGTGAAAGTAAATGTCTTAGTAAAAATACACACTTTTCTTATTTCTTTGAGCTATTTGTTGGGAAGAATACTAATACAAATACGGCTTATATGCAAATGATCTGATTAATATGCATTGATTTGAATAAAAATACATAAAAGTAATTGAATTCGTATTTGGTTCTCAATATATTTCTCAAACAAGGATAATTGTGCTCCATTGACACACATATTAGTCTAACAAAACTCTAATCAGCTAATTAATATGTATGAGGTAATTATTAAAGTAAAAATTATGTACATACTATTTTGATGTTATCACATTGAATTTGAATTATGAGAGTCTACATTGGTATTTTGAAATTGAACTATAAAAAAGAGAAATCAAATCATTTAATTTTTGTTGGTTCATGCCTTAAAAGAGATCTTGCAGCGAACAGAAAATAACCTACTGAGTCTTGCTCTCAGTGATACGTACTGCTCTACTCTACAGCTGCATAGTAACTACAGTAGCTATTTTATTATTGGCAAATACTATATTCAAATTTATTTTGTTTTACCAACAGATTTATTATACAATAAAATCTATCTGTCATAATTATCCATATTTCTTTCAGATTTATTTGAGCATTATAACTTTGCTGACTACCTGTAGTATTCATGGTTATAAATCTCACCAGCTTAAGGGGTATGAAACTCTAGCGATTTGCTATACCTGAACCTGCTAATTAAAAACCCCTAGGTAAATAGTAATTAAACTGCTGCACCGCAACAAGCAATAGTTTTGGGTAACTTGAGTAAAATAATAAATTGTTTTTATGATAAGCATTACTGAAGATTGTGAATCAGCACTTACAGTGCTGCAATGTTGTACTCATATTTATTGACCTCTGACATGTACAAGTTAAATATGGCCAGACATATTTTGTGTCAAGAATGTTAGCCATGCATGAAATGAAACATTCCAAACAGAAAATTGAAAGAAATTCACACTTTTAAATGCAATAATTTTTAACTTTTTTTTCACATATTTTTCTGTGATTTCATTGATAATTTCCAATATATGTAACTAATTTAGAGTGTAGGATATGACATGTGACAATACGCTCATTTTGCTGAATCATGTGGGAAATTGAAAACATGTGGAAATATAGTCAATCAATGATTGTCACTGTAAAAACAACAGCAGGATATTCTCAACAAGAGCAAGCTTTTTTCATTTTTTGAGAAGATTTTAGTATTTTCGCCAGCCAAGTTTCATTTATTCCCTCATCATAATATCTTGGCACAATACCAACTATTCACTGTAGATGAAATCAAACACAACGGCGCATGCTCTCATTGGTCCCCATAGTAAATGGAACAGGAAGTCATATGATGCATTTCCATGGGAAATTGAACATGAAATTGTGTGTTTTTGTCAGTTGAGCTATAATGTGATATAAGATTGCAAAATCGTTCAGTATAAATCTGAAATTGATGCAAGTTGTTGTTACAGGAATGATTGGTGGACCCAACTCCTTGGCTGATCCAATCAAATCATTCAATTAAACTGAGCTCAAATAAAGCTTTTCCTAATACAATCAAACACAGGTTCATAAATATGACCATGAATGGCCAGTTTCAGTAAAACCATGCAAATCAGATGATGTCTTCATTGTTGACATTTCCCATCAGTTTTAACGTTTAATGTTCGAGAATATTTTCATGTCACTTAGATATTTTGCAGGTGTCTGCATTGTGTATTTATTATTAACCTGCACTCACTATTATGAGTTCAGCGCATTTCAAATCAACAATGTTTGCAATGAGTTACCAATGCCGTTCGGTATTCGGTAGTCAGGTACTGCAGATGAGTAGCAAGTAGCATCTGCCATGCAGTCTAAGTAAACACTATCCGCAGCCATCCCACTTAACATTTACCAAGATATGAAATATTATATATTCTTTAAAGATAAGATAATTCTTTACTACTGAAAACAGGGCCGTAAAGTTTGAGTTGCCACAATTACAATAGCCGGCTTAACTGAAGTGAGCAAACAATCAATAAATCAAATACCCCGGTAAACTATTGTTTGGAATATTAAATATTAACTTGTTGTGCGTGTTTTCATTTGTACAGATTATAAATCACCATTAAGGAGGATTTTATGACATCATAGTTTTACATTATCACATGAATATAAACCTCAATTCTTTTCATTTCAAGAAAAAAAAATTTAATTAAATTTGTTATTTCAATTTAAAACAATAATACACGTTGGATTCGGAAATGGTCTTGTCGGGATAATGTGTTCGGCTTTGCCTCGCACCTGACCATATCCTTGACCCTTCTCCTCCAATATGGCGTTGTAGGGATCCATTATTGTTTGAATAAATATTATTCAGGTTGCCATGGAAACAAAACTTTTAAGTTTTTTTCATTCTATTCTAAAGTCACTCTGACAAATACAACAGTGCATTTAAAACGTCATCATCAACATGAAGCGCTACCGTAGTTCAAAATATTTGTTTCGACCTAAATAAATATTCTTACCTATTACTAATCAAAATTTATTTGGGTTCAAATGTCAAATTCGATTTATACTACTGTAAAATACTTTATTTTCGCTTGGAATTAATTTTCGCTATTTTCACTGAAGGAATGATTCTGTATAAATAAAATCCAGTGATTATATTTTTTACCTATATTTTACATTAAATTTGCCAAAAATCAGTGAAAAATAAACTCCAAACAAAACACCCGAAAGGTCGTTTCAGCAAAAACTAATCCAGCTAAAATAAAGTATTTTACAGTATGTCACATTCATGGTATACCCAGCCAAAAATGTTTTAATGGTCACCAATCATAAATAATCCAATGTGTCTGCAATATATGGAATAAATTCAGGTAGGTCAAATAGACTACTTAGTGCACAGTGGTTCATGTTTACATAAGCCATACAAATGTATATATCATAGGCGAAGATAAAGCACACGAGATATTACCTTGTATTACCAAATCCAGCGACGAAAAGAATGATAGCAAAGCCATGCGCCAACGCCACTGCAATCAGACCAGCGGCTGCGTCGCCACCACCCGGGTAGCCAACCACACTGCTCATGGAACCAATAAACACGAAACACATTACACCAAAAAATTCGGCAAATGTGGGCCTGATGTAACGTTCCATGACCGTGAACGGCGTCCATACTTCGGCATTGGTGTTGCCACCATTGCTCGCTAGATTGCGCTGTGATTCTGTGTTTTCAAACTCGTCCATTTCCGTTGAGCTGTTGGCATAAGCAGGATTTGAAGTCATTGTTAGTACTTTTAAAACTTTGCACAATAAATGCGGCCCACTACATTCGCAGTGCTAAAACTATTAATATAATCGAACACGCCTTTGCTTATCTTTACTATATTACTTATCCAATCCGCACCAGCCACCAATCTCTTATCTACGCGGCGTAGGTTACAGGTATAAATTACACTATAAATGTACCCCGTGTCCTGTTTAATAATACGGCCGTTTACTTGGAAATCATCAAACTTACTAATAAATAAAGTAAAAGCCACTCAACCTGAAGTCTCATGAATATTTGATAAGAAAATGCAAAGTCCGACTTACGCTTACATGTAAACACGTGTGATTTGTTGATAACAGCTGATGACCAATGGCAACAAAACGAAATATGTCAAAGGTCATGGCGCATGACTTAACAAAAAGCAGGATTGGATCGGAAATATAAGAAATTGATACGATATTACATAATTTCAATATCTGGAGGGTTGGGGGACAACATTTCATGATGTTTGTTTTTATCCACGTTTTTCTTTATTCTTATTCATAGCGCGGTTTTTGTTTTCTTTTCAATGATGTTTTTTTTCTTTCACTAATCGAATCCTTCAGCCAAGTCCCAGTTTTCAAGTGAAGAGCATTCCTCATTATCGGTATCATTAAACTGCAAGATGCTATTTTGATTCGCACGTAGAGATGCGTGGTTAAGGCTGTTTGGCTATTTTTAGATTCAGATTAAATCATCAGTTCATCTGCGTAACCATGGTTACTACTTTTTTCGTAACCTAGTTGTACTGCAATTAACCTTTGACTCGCCTATGCACTTGATAAATCCGATATGTAGAAAAAAAGGTTATGCCGGTGAGCATTTGTGGTTTGTCCTTCCTTTTATGTTTGACACACTTCTGCCAGCTATCGATGTTTTGATACACCTAATGAAACTATCAAATTATGATCTAGGCAGTCTTCGTGAATGTAATCAAACCACCTGTACCAGTGTAGGGAACTATAAACGGTGGTCCACCGGACCGAGACTTGTCTTTTTGACCGATACAAAAAAACATGCCACGGACCTGTAGTTATATGGTGACAGCAGGTTCTCTCAGAGCATATTCCGATTTTTAACACTTTTTGCAGTGGTCGGGAGATATATTCTAAACTCACCCCCCGGACTCGCCCCTAGTACAGTCGCCACTCAGCTTCTTTACGAGTACAACGTGAGTCATTTCTCCGTCAATCAAAATACGCTATCGTCACTGTCTCACGTCAGAAAAGTTCTACTAACAGTATCAACACACATTGTTGACTTCATCGAGCATTATTAAAAATGAGATATCTGATTGTAATAAAATATCGCGTATATATTAAGAAATAACAATCAAATCAATGTACGCAAAAGTAAAATACCCACTTCCAAATATATTTCTGCAACTAAAAACGTCAAATTTGTGAGAAATTACAATCAGTTTCTGCGACCTATTATACACAATACACCACGACGGAAATACACTCTATTGAAGTTGCGGCCTAGATACTTAAACATTTCGTTGTGCTTTTAATGTGCCAGGTGAAACACTATAAATCTAACAATAAAAAAAAAACGAACACACAGTCCGTACAAATACGTTATAAGGGTATTTAACATTTCTACAATAAATGATGTAAGAAGTTGAATATGTTGGAAAATCTCAATGCAAACAATTTCTATTTAGAGTGATTCCGAAGATAAACACATTTACTGAAAATTTACGAAAAGTTCAAAAGGACTTCTTGGGGGAAAAGTTGGTATTGGTACACAGCTGTTGCCATGTCAACAGCACAGATTAATGATCTCAATGTTGTTTATTATAGAAGTGTTATTATTTAGGCAAAGTTATTTTCCTTATCCTAAATATGAAAGGCGAGAGCAAATTTTCAAAATCGTTATTTTTTTAACCTAATTTTTATTAATTATTTTACAGTTTACAAATCGTCCAATTTTCTGTTCCTCGGTATGACTCGCGCCCTTAACGAGGGAGCGTAATCTGATTAAAATCTGAATGTACTGTACGGCGTTTATTTTTTATTATTACTTTATATATTTTATTTTTAATGTATTTTTTGTTTTTGTTTTTATCACGTACATTATATTTTACATTAGGTGTGGGTTTTTGCGATTACCAAAGTTATCAGCGATTACGTAATAATTAAAATGAAGTATATTTAAAATACATAATTAAAAAAAAGAAAGAAATGAACAAGAAAAAGATAAAAGAGAACAATCTGACACTAGGATTTTATGTTCATCAGATTTTAGAAAGCACTTACCTGCGTCGATATTATTTTAATAAGATTTATCGCAGATTACTCAGGCATGTTTTAAAGGGCGGCAGTCGTCGTGTCGCGTCCTGTTCGATATGGGACTCATAGCGACGTATACACGCGTGTAAAATACATTGTTTATTTACATGAAATTCGAACACGCGCTGCGCGACGACCACCGCGCTTTAAGTTTATGCTAGTTTGTATCGTTTAAATGCTTAGAATAGGCACTTATTTTTACTTGTTACTTTATAAATGTTAAAAAACTAAAAATACTTTCTATTTAATTCGCTTACTTGATGAAGTATCCATGCAATCTGATGAAGTAGTTATTTTAGTCAAAAGTTATATGTTTCACTGTGTGTTTACCTAACTTTAACACTGGTCCCTTTGCAATCTGGTTAAAATAAGATCCTAGTTTGTTTGTTTTTTTTGTTTTTTTTTGTATATTTATTTTATAAATCACAAAAACAAAATCAAAGTAAAATAATACAATAAAAAGGCATTAATAACAAAAGTAATAAAAATTAAAAATAAGTTCATGATAGCCAAAATTATTAAAACCCGTACACTACATCAGATTTTAATCAGATTGGTCCCTATGGCTAAGAAGCACACTTTCAGTAATTGTAAAGCATTATATTTATTGGTCAGTTTGATAGATAATATTTCACCCAAACACTTTAAAATCTTTATTTTTAGGATTGAGATCATCTTATAAATAAATAATAATAATAACTTTATCACATTACTACGCCACCAGAGGGCGCAATATGGTAAATAAAATAAAATATAAATCATAAAAAATACAGCAGCTAAATAGACTAAACTATGACAAGATAACAATAAAAGTAAGAGATTTTAAAAGGTTAATTAGAACAATTGAATGTTAATTACAGGATTCTCCCATTTTAGAGGTGAAAGCTTACATATACATGTACTTGACTTCTGTTTTGCTTCCGGGTTATAAAGCATGTCAGCATGTCATTGAAATTGTTTGTTTTATTTACATGTAGTTTATTTCTAACTTCTATTTCTTGAAACAGCTCCCCTCTTTCTTTGCCGAAAAATTCACAGTCTAGGATAAAATGCTGAATTTGTATCATGACATTTTACAAAATCGCTCATCTGCA